ACAGACAGGTGCCCCTGAACACGCCTTGTTGCCCATTCCTCTTCAGGTCAGTTAAAAATTGCCTTGGTGACTCAGAAAATACACTCTAGGCTCAGTCATCTGTAATTTCATGAAGTATTGAAGGATGTTTGACTTCAGGTACAAGAGCAAAGCAAGATATTTCAGTAATGGATTTGAGCAGGTTCAAAGAATTTATAAAGAATTCTGAATGGTAAGACAGTGAGACTCCCAGAGTATTAGAGGTCTGAAGCATAACATCTAAAAACACTGTAATCTCCATCTCTTCAAACCAAGATACGATTTAAAATGCAATTTACTTCATTACTGTTCTCCTTGGCATAACAGTGATGACTTTTTGTGCCAAGACTCCAGATCCAGAACTTTTACATTCTACTTTTTACTTTCAACAGGATGCTCTTGTAATCAAGAACATGCGACAACACATTTTCTCTCACGCTCAGATGTGGGTTTCTCAAGATGACACACAAATTATCTAAACATTTTTCTTACTCTCTTTCCAAAAACCAATTTGGTGAAAACTAACTGAACCAACCTGGTAACACATGACAGATTTAAACTTAAAGCCTAAGATGATGAATTTCTAGAACCAATCTCAATGCAATTTAATTTCAGTTCATATTTTGGGGCTCTCTTTCCACAATAATAATCTATAGCTTACAATACTTCCCTGGTAGGAATATTGGGCCTCAAGACTGACTTCAAAGACCTAGGGAATGACAACACAAAAATGGGAAGGGGGCCAAGAAGCAATTAATTTTTGTTCTACCATTTCATTATATTTACACATTCATGGAAATACACAGCCAAATATCATTCCAAAGTTTTCTTTAATCAGGCTAAACAAGCAATGCTCAGCAGATGTCTAGTGGGCAGCAGTCAGTGAAAAGTTGTGTCTTGGACCGTGGCTTTCCTGACTGCCCCAAATCATTTGATTTCTCTTTCCACACTTTTATTCCCAGCAGTGGAATCCCTGCACATATCCATCAGTCTCTTAACTACCGCTGGATTCTGATATCCCACACTGAGCTTTGTAGTTAATTCTGACTATGGGTTTGGTTTTGCTTTGTTGGCAGGGGGACTTTGCAAATTTGGGTATTTTACGCCATCCTTAAAATTCTCTGAGAGTTCTCCAAAGTCACTGGAAAGGTTTTCAATGAATTGGCTGAATTTCAGGTAAGGTCCTATAGAGCTTTTTTGAGTAAAGCACAGCACAGTTCCAAGCTCCAAGCAGCACATACAGAACAGACAATGACAGATTCCCTAGAATTTCCTACAATTCTCTAGGGAATTGTATCTACTGATTTTAGGGAGCAGGGGAGAGAATATCTTAAATAGTTCCTGTAATCTTGTGATTTTAGATGATCAAGCAGATAATGTGACACAAGATGGGAGTATAAATAATATGTATATAACAAACAACAACTCAGCTGTTCGTAATATCTCCCTGAAGCAAGAGAGTCCAATCTGAATAACAAAGTTATGGATATCATGTAAAATACAAATGAGACAAATTATTTTTAAATAGTGCATTGCACATTTCAAAGGTATAGCTAAGTAACCTATTTCTTCCTATGTACCAAACACTTCACTAACTGTAATAGCAGCAACTGATTACACTTGTAGGATATATGCTTCCAAGAAAAATTCCAGCCATTTTGGGTGCCAGTAGCTGCCCAATTCAATTCACTAAATAAGCAAAATCAAACTTTTGTCTAAATACTACGGAGGCCAAATTTTAAATAGTTTCCAACTGGTATATTTCTGGAAGTGAGAACTTTGTATCCCTTTACCAGGCAATGAGTCCTGAGATGCTGCTCAACATCCTCACCACAGATACTGCTCACAGTATGAAGAAATGAGTCCTCTTATCTGTTCCATAAGGTACAAACCAATGAAATCCAGTTATATAATATCCTTTTTTATGTATAATGTAATTTTGATTGCCTCTCCTAAGGACCTAATGAGTGGGTCATTCATTCAGCTGTACTCACCATTAACTTATGGAATCTGGTACCCACTGTTAGGAATTAAAACTATTGGCTTCAGTAAACATCGACTAGAGGAGCACTGTGAGTCAAAAGTGATACCATTAAAGCTATTTTGAGAAATGATTGTATAACTTACAGGACTTGTTTCAAGACATGTCAGACTCCTACAGTTTGTAAAGTGCTGTGTCCAAGTTTTCTGGAAGTCAGTGTCCAGCCTTTCTTCTTCCAGGTTCCCCAAATTTTAATCACTATTGGTTTAATCTGAGAATATTATAAAAACCAGTTGGATTATTCCACCATTTGGGATCCTATAGTTTGGTGTTTTAAAACTGTTTCAGTCCTACTTAATTGCTTTCAGGTTTACTATAGAAGAAACTCAGTATCTGACAAGCTCTCATTTACAGAAAATCTTTGCTCTGTTAAAAGGCCACAAAGAAATGCAACCTTTTCATTTTATACCCAACTGACTGGTGCACAGAAACTCTATTTAAGAAAGTCATATTCTTATGAACATCCTTTTTGAACTTAGCTTCCCACTGGCATCTCCTGAGTGGTAATTCAGAGCTCAAGATATACTCCACAATACTGTCCTAAATAGTGTTAAATTGGTATTCTCTGCTCCACTGGGCAATCTATCTAGATGTGTAAAGAAAAATCAAGACAGTCACAATTATTTATGGTTGACAGACACTGGCAATAAGAAATTGCAACATAACTCTTGGAAGCTCTATACCTTGTTTGACCAATATAAAGATGAAGTTTCATAGCAAGTTGGTTATTATGAGTAGACGGAAATAATAACCATCCCAAGCCAAACAAGTACCTCAGCAGTCAAATGTCACTTAAATTGCTTGATTCTTTTGATGTATTTTTAATGTGGAATATATATTAATATAACAAATGAGGAGCACCACCAAGATTTCAGAGGACAGCACTACAGTACAGCCCAAGAAAAATCAACTTAAAATGAATTTAGATCACAGAATCGATACCTAGGGATTAACTAAGGATCACTGAATCCTTCATTATTGATCCACAAAAATATCATTCTTTTACTATGCAGTACACAATTACTTGTTATTTTTACAAATTCACACAATAAGAATCAACAACATGTGTAGTGATTAAAATTCAGGGCTGAATATATTACATAAGCAATTAAAGTAATCTCAAAAATGAGAGCACGCAGTTACAAAATTCACAGGCTTCATGCTCGTAACTGGAGATATGAAATGCATGCTTGCTTCCTTGTCATTTCAGTCTTTCTGGGGTTTTGATGCTAATTGGTCCTCTGCATCTTCTCCTTACATAGAAATAGACTTTAAAATGAAAATTACTGGAAGAAACTCTTTGAAAACTTTTCCCTATATATTTCTACTTTACAAAAACAACTGGCTTGACAGATTTCTGCTAAACCCCCTGTAAACAGACTACATTGTATTTGTGTATTCCAGACTCTTATTTTACCAGTGACTACCCACATTACATAAAAAGAGCACTGCCACTCAAAACATATTGCTAATAAATTGTATCATGTCGGAATAGTTTTCTCTCAGTTTTGCACCTTACCCTTAGAAAATATCAAATGGGGTAAGACAGGTAAACGAGATGATTTCTTTTCCCTGACAGCAGCATTAAACAGACCTGGTCCCGATCAACAAGCTGCATCTGCACAGCTTTTCTGTGCCAAAGGAAGTTCTAATCTTCCATTCAAGTCTCTAAGGCCTTGGCTGAAAAACCCAGGGCACAGTTGAGATAAATCCACCTAAAAGTTTTCAAATAATGGAGGCTTCATTACTTAGCTACACTTTGAGAAAAACTATCATAAAATACATTAATGTAAAAATCTACCACACATACAGGAATAACAAGTGCCTTATAAAGATATATCCAACTGGTTTTGAACAGGGATTTCTCAAAATGCCTAAACTATTGGTTATCTATGTTATTTTCCCTGAAATAACAATTATTGCTGTTTTATTCTTGCCAGAATCCCACAGACACTTCGTCAATGAGTGAACATGTTTTAATCTCCTGGTTTTGCATCAGGAGGAAGAGTGGAAGTCAAGACTGTGCTACAGTTACGATTAACACAATAGCCTCAACTAGAAATAGAGAGCACATTTTATGACTCTTCTCTATTTGCCTGTTTTCATATACACAAACTGAAATCTGTTCATTTACAACAAATTTCAGACAAAATTGCATTGAGACCCATTAGCCTTGAAATCTGTACACACAAAAACATTTGCAGCAGAAGAACCTAATGAAAAAAGACCCAACACAAAAATATTTACACCAGATGAACTTAATGGAAAAAAACCAACAAAACAACACAGGAATGTTTACCTCATAAATAATTGTAGCACAGTCATATATAGGTTTTAAGTTTATAAGTAGATGCAGTCACACAAGAGAAATAGGGGAAAAAAAGGAAAAAAGGTGGGGGGGGGGGGAAAAAGAGAGAGAAAACACAAAATCCAAGAATCCAAGAAATCAGAACAATTTCTGGGTAGTGGAATTTTGTAATACATTATTTGTTAGAATAGAAAGAATTGAAAGAATTAGGAATGTTCTGAGTGTGCAAAATAATATCATCCCACAACATGGAAATCATATAAAATATAAAATGAAAGTGCTTTATGGCTAATTATAATAAATGGTAAATTAAATTAGGTAGTTAGGAGAGGCAAATACTCCCACTATCCCACTAAATTATCATGCCTTATATCCAGAAATCAGCCTCCAAAGCTTCTCAAATCTCACCTTGTGAGGCACAGTTCCCAAAGGATGCCTATAAATACAGCCCTGCTTGACAAGCTTTCCACTCAAATAAAAAAGCCGTTGCATTGCAAGTAAATTTAATTCCTAAAATTTCATTCCCTCGCACAATCCCTCTATCTTCTGAACCTCGAAAGTAAGACAAAGAAAAAATAAATCATTTTGTGGAGGCAGTAAAACAATATAGTTTATAATTTTCCTTTTCCTGACCTTTGAATGTGTGCGGTTCTCTCTGAACTTACTCCAGTGAGCTGTGCAGTGGTTGGCATTTTTCAATTTGAAGCAGTAATGAAGGAGTGTAACTATGACTAATGTGCCGTAGTTGCTTTGCTCTATTCTGTCATTTCCTTCCATCCTAAATGGTGAAATCTACCATGCATTTTAAAGGTACACAGTGAGGCTTTGCAGCACGCTCCCTGCACCACCCTGCCACTGACTCCAACCCTGCTGTAAACAAGCTGCAGTGATATTCACCAAGGAAAATGGGTTGCTCTGCGGGCTCAGGAAAGCAACTGCTGCTGGCAGAGGAGCCAACGCAGACACATCTCAGGGACGAGCCACAGAGGCTGTTAACTTCACCTATTTTCCTTTTTTTATTGCTTTTCCATTTTTTTCCATAATGCATCTTTAATGTATCACAAAAGTTGTAACATTTTGTGAGTCAATTTTTTGGGGAGGTGAAAGGCTGGATCCGTTAGCAGAGTGAAAATGCAGAAACTTGGAAACCTGCACCAGTGTATTCCAACAGAAGGTCCTCTTCAATATCTGAGTTATCCCTGTAATCTATATTTCTTTACTACAGAAGGCGAGTGTAGCAAATCACAGCACATAAGTTATTTCTGTTGGGTTCCTTCTGGAGGTTTCTCCATACTGGTGCCAGCAGGGTATCCTGGGAAAAATTTATAAATGTGATCATACATTATCATGCAAAATGAGACCTCTTCATAAAGGATAGGATAAAGGAAGTGAAATTATAGTCATATAGGAGTTTCTCTCACCACAGAAAGAAGAGCCTTTTAACCTAAAAGCATTTTGTTTTTCCACAAAGTTGGAAAGCAATCCCTAGTTCAGGACTACTTTGCATGTTAGCTCCATATTTTCACAAAACTCAACTGAGAAAGTCTCTTAATAAATGACTGTTTCTTAAATTCAAGAACATTAAATACACTGCATTTCAAGGCAGATCAAAAGCACTTTTATAATGATCTGGACATTTAAATATTATTTTCTGAGCACTGACCTTAAATACTGTTAAACTTCAAAACAACAAAATCCAAGCCATGGATTACACAATCTATACAATTACAAAATCTATATGATATGTAATCTATATTACTACAAAGTAGAATTCCCTTTAAATTATTCACAACATGAAGAGATATGATTAAATAATTAATGCTCTTAACATGCTGCAAATATGTTTTTAGGAAGAATTGAATTCCAAAGCAAAAATCCTCACTGTCTCCTCCACCTTGGGCAGTGTGACATTTACCATTTTTAACAAAATAAACTTTAACAGATGTCTAGAAATCATGCACTGCTTACTAACAACTGAAACTTCTTTTTTTTTTCCTGAAAAAGTTCAATTGGAAGAGTTTAACACTGCCTATTAGTATTACAAGCCTCTCAAGAGAAACATGAATGAAATCCTGCTTCTCATTAAAACTGCACCCTTTTCCCAAAGTATTAGGTCCATTTCTGTTGCCTGATAGAAAAGAAGATCTTTCCCTTAGACTGCAAGTCTTCTCTGAGCTTTTTATGTGATCCAGCTGCCAAGTGTGTGCTCTGGAGAAGCTGCAGTCTCCTGATCTCCTAAGAGAAAGAAGCCCAGGCAATAAACCTGCTCTCTGTCCCTTGCTCTGGGCACCAGCCTCTCTTCCCTGCATTTCCCATTCCCAAATGTTTTGACCTTGAGCAATGGGGTCTGATAAACCTTAGCTGGGAACAGTCTCAACAGAAGAATTCTCAGCTATTTCATAGGAATTGGCAGGAGGAGAGGGGAGTGATGGAGAGAATGTTGCTCTGGGAGAAAGGCTGGGGACATTCAGCAGCCGCAGCCTCTGAGAGCTGTTGGGGTTCCTCGGCTGTGAGACTTGTGGGCATGTTTGGGATGTCAGAAGAGGCAGGACAGGGTGTGTGCACTACATTATAACTCCATTCCTGATCAGACAGCTGCCCTGAGAAGTGTGCAGTTTAGGGTTCAGACTACAAACAGGGGTTGGGGGAGGTACAAATGAGGATCAGAGAAGGACCTTTCCAAACTACCCTACTGCACAAGTTCTGGCTATGGGAGAAGCCCACACAAGTGCCTGCAGGGCTGTGACTAACCTGGAACGCCTGAAGATCTACTGAGAAATGCCCAATGGCACTGGAGAATGGGAACACTCATATTTTCTGAGACAACAGGTGTGTGAGCAGGCAAAATGCTGCAACACTCCTCTTCTGAGAAAGGGGTACATCTTCCCCCAAGCACTAGAAGCTACAATCATTCCCTAATTAAGAATGTTAGAAAAGGAACAGACCACTCTCATTCCCTCTGTGATTTCCCTTGAAATGACACAAGTGAAAGACACTTCTAAAACTAAGACCAATATCCATACACTCCAGAAACACACAGTGTGCAGCAAACTGCTGGCTGTTTGCTCACAGATGCTTGTTTTGAAGGCTGCTGTACAAATGTGACAGTATTTGCATGGCCCTTGAAACCTTGTTTTCTCACTACTGGATTTCACACAGCGCTGTATCCCCTACCTTCCTTCCCACTGCCCAAAAAGAGCACCCTGCATTTTGTAGCAATATTGAACAAATATCCCTGAGCAGCCCAGCCACTCTCTGGCCCACAAGCTGGTGCTGGTCAGAGCAGCCCTCCCAGCCACGTCAGCTGTTCAACTCACAGTGGCTGAAAACAGGAAAACTGTTTTATTTCAGCAGGGAGGATATTACAGCCTCTAATACTATTACCCGAAAGAGGTTTACTAGTGGGAATCAACATCTTGTCGTGTTTGCAGAAGCTTTTCTCATCCCCTCTCTCATTTCCCTCTGGGCTCCCATAAAATTAATATATTAACCCAACGTTGTGTCAGTGGTACTGAAAATAACCCATGAGTACCCCCTATTAACGTTATGGTGCATTGCAGGGAACCTTGCTGAGACTGATGACCATAACAGCTGCCCTTTATTTGGGATAGTTGTGGGGGATCACTGAGCTCACTTAAAGACTCAGGAGGAAAAAAAAAAATGTAGCAGGTTCCAGGTTCCAGCTATGCCTCCACATAAATAAAAAGCGCTTTTCTGAATATCATTTAAGTTTGTGGTCACACATTTGAAAGAGAGGTCAGAAACCGATTAAAGGAAAAGTACAACCCAACACAGCTTCAGCTGAGACAAAAGAAAAAAATTGGGGTCATAGTGGCATGTGCAGCAAAATTATTTCTGGTTGATTCCTTCAGTGCAGGGTTGGCATGTTTTTTTTTCCTCTGAGTAATCTGCAATGGATCAAAGGATCCACTGGGTCAAGCACCAGCCTTAGTTTCTAACTGAGATAATCCCTGGAGATCCTAAATCCTGATAAAATTTTTGTCCCAATAAACTACAAAATTGCTTAACTTACACATTCCATTTATATAGCAACTCCAGAGCAGTGCATTTATTGGCAGAATCGTCATATTGGCAGAAGTAGCTGGCAATAAAAGCTTCACATTTTCCTTTGGATGCTCCAGATTCTGTATTCGGAAGTTCTAGAGTCTCCAATAATATTTTTAATTTCTTTTGCCCTATAAAAAGTCCAGATGCTTCCTGGACTGGTTATTATCTTCTTAATATAAAAAAATAACATCTTGTCAATAGGTAATTATCCAACCTCAGTAATATATCAGCTTGGTATTGGCAGAAGGAAAACAGAAGGTGTCTTGGCTAAAGTGCTGAGCAGAGACACTGGAGATGAGCACCAGATACCACAACAGCACCTCCTTGTGCCACACAGCCTCCCTCGGGCTCCATGGGCCATTTCTGACTCCACAGGGATGGTGGGATGAGACCTTCAGCAATAACCAGGGAGTGTAGAGATCCTACACTAGTTCAGACAACTGCTTTGCTCACCATTTCAGCCAGGACTGTAGGTCAGCCCTAAGGCTCCACATAACATCTTGCTTATCCGTAATTTTACGATACATCTCCTTTGTGTTCCTGCCTAACAGGCAGAAGAACACAGTTTTACCACCCTTTTGAGCAGCAAAGCATGTTCGCTGTGCTCAGACTGAAATCCTTTATTTTAATTTTCCCAGCATTCTGAGTAGCCTGCCAGGAGATATTTAGAAGAATAATAAATCTTCTTGGTGCCAGGGATGTGAGAGAAGGGCTCAGGACTAATGCAGAGATCTGGTTTATGAGTGTCATCTGTTCCTGCTCTGCCAAAGGAAGAATGGCATATTGAAATTACTCTGCTGTAGGCAAAACCAGCAAGGACAGCACATTATCCTCTGCTGGCACCCAGGGGAAAAAAAAAAAAAAGACAGAAAAAGAAAAACACATGGATGCTAGTACTGGGAAACACAGCACATAATGTAGTGCAAGTTAAAATATTAAAGTTACTCAGTTACTGAAGCAGCAAAAATTCCAGGGAGTTGCATACTCTAGCCTGTTGTTCTTAGTTGGTTTTTCTTTTTTTTTTTTACGTGTTAGGAAAGCTTTTCAGTGGCATTACAGCAAATAAGCACGATATCCTGTAAGCAGGAGAGTGGAAGACACACACTAATGAAAGCAAAATGGCTCTTAATTCACATGCCTGCTAATGGAGGCAAAGGAGCCTGGCACAGCTAAAGCAGCCAACACATATCAACCATCCACAAAAAGATATCATGAGCTTGGGAAGATTTTATTGCAGAATTAAGGAGATCTTGCACATCTTTAATCTCACTTGGCAAAGAAATCACAATGAGAGCAGCTACTTCTTTCATGTTAAATGAAAGAATGTCTAGAAGATGTGAGCATTTAAATCTGTAATCAGAAGGATATAACAAAGTTGAAAATATGGGAATTTCACTTCTGTTTATCAGGTTTTGGACAGTATGTATGACATCTGTACTGATGATGTTCATTTATGATGAGCAGGCACACCATGCAGTGACCACTGACCTCCTTAAAATTTCCTCTGCCTAAGGAGAGTGCTGAAGGCTTTGGATAAAAATCTTAAATGACATCAGTGGTAATGGGCTACAGGAACCTAAAGAAGAAAATATATGAACATGACAATCTTGAGATACATATAGATCTGTGGCAAAGAGGAGATGCTGTTCTTGGTGAGTCTGGCCAGAAAACACAATAAACTTCAACTGTAGCACAAAGGGACCACT